CCGGCGGGGAGCTCAGGGCCTCTTGGGGACCCCGGAGCGCGCGGCCACTTTCTCGCCGGTCGCCACCCTCACCCAGACCATGCACGACCTCGCTGGACTCGGCAGGTAGGGCGCCCCAAGGAGGCCGGGTGTGGGGTGAGAGGTCGGCACTAGGGTGTTGGTCCTGGGCCTCCTGGGGAACCCCCCATGGGATCCGAATCCGAGAGGCGAGTAAGGAGGCATCCCGGGGAGAGCCTGCTTTGGGGACCCGGGACAAGGGCGGTGAGGCCGGGACTGTGCGGCTTACACCCTAGGGGACCTGTTCTTATTCGGCACCAGACTCTGAAGATCCTCTTTTCCCCTCCTCCTCCTCCTCCTCCCTCAGTGTGCCTCCGTCATGCTGCCTCCCTATTGCCCCTGTCGCCACCATTTTGCCCCAGGCAGGGGATCGTGAGCCTGGAGGGGAACTAGAAGGCAGAGCAATCCAGTTCTCCTAGGTCCCTTGCCCCTGCTCCCTCTACCCCTAGTTCTTTCCTGGGGGTTAAAGGGTTAAACACTGGTCCTGCTCCCTGAGTTACCTGCAGGGTCCGGGCTGGGTTGTCCTCCCAGCCACAGAACCCCAAGTCTTGGCTCCCCCTTTAGGAAGGCCTGTGGATGGGTAGGAGCCTAATCTGGAGCAGTGGTTCTCAACCTTCCTAATGCCGCGACCCTTTAATACAGTTCCTCATGTTGTGGTGACCCCCAACCATAAAATTATTTTTGTTGCTACTTCATAACTGTAATGTTGCTACTGTTATGAATCGTAATGTAAATATCTGAGATGCAGGATGTATTTTCAGGGGTCGAGACCCACAGGTTGAGAACCGCTGCCTGGAGGCTGCTCTACTGCCCCACCCCCAGGATGATCCCCAGCCCAGCTCCTTCCTCTTGTCTTGGGCTCACCTCCCCCTGTACCCAGGAGGATCTTTCTTAAACCAACCAACGAAGAGAAGACACTTAGGGCCTCTGTAGGAGCCTGCCTACAGAGAAGAGGGCAGGTTTTCCATGCCATCGCCTACCTTGGGGCAGTGCAGAAGCTGGATGGGCCCTTCAGAAGTGGGTGGCTGGTGGGAACATGGGCCGGCCAGCCCTTGAACCCCCCATTTACCTTTCTACTTCCCTGGGTCCCTGCTCCCTTCCCAGGGAGGCCCCAAAGAGTCAGGTAGGCAGCCTGCACACATGCCTATCCCTGTCCCCGCGGCGAGCGTCAGCATCCTCCCTGTCGTCTGAGTCCTCTGAATCTTCTGATGCAGGTGAGGCCCAGGGGTGCCAGGGGACTTTGGGGGGCTGCCTGAGCCTCCTCATTTCCCTGCCAATCAGACTAATGTCCTTCCAACAACCGGGAGGTCTGAGAAGCCTCCCCTGCCCTCCTCTGGCGGGGCTCACCACATCCAGGCGGAACCGGTGGTTGGGCGGGGCCCCCTGCAGGAGATGAGATCTCACCTATTTAAAACCAAAGCCCCTGAACCACAGCCCCACCTGGGAGGCATTAGATCGGAAGGCTGGTTATTTTATAACACTCACTTGCCCCCAGCTATAATCTTTTCCTTTTAAAAAGGCTGTTATCTCTTCCAGAACAAATGATCTTAAACCAGTTCAAGAAAAATGCTTAACGAAGTTTTGATTTACAAACTATGTAGAAGTGTTTTCATAGCAAATAGGGAGTGGAGCCCTGGACAGTTGGGGGGCAGCCTGGGCTGTTGGGGTCCATGGGTGGGTTTTGCTTCATTTTTTTAATGTGTCGAGATTTAAAACAGAAACAGTTTTTTTCCCTTCTCTGAATAGGGTTGGGACATGGTGGGGGAGAGTACAGAAAATGGCACTACTTTCAAACCAAAGCACTCTGTCCCCTCAGGGCTCTGCATGGATTCTCCCAGCCCCATGGACCCCCAGGTGGCGGAGCAGACGTGAGTAAAGAAGAGGGATCCCCACTACAGGATTTGGCACCTGCCTTTGGGAATCCCAGCTGTAGCATACACTCACTGGGGAGGCCTGGGAGAGTGGACAGACCCCCCTGGGTCCCCATGTGGGGGGACTAATTGACCTTCCTAAGTTCTGGGATCTTGCTTGCTCCCTGTCTTGGAGAAGGGTCTGTTCTCACAGGAGCATCTGAGAGTAGGCTCAGGGCCAGGGTGGTGGGGACAGGGCCTCTGGGAGCAGCAGATACTTGACGCCAGTCAGCCCTTTTGGGAACATAGGCTGGTATGTGTCCTGTTTTCCTTTCTGCCTATACATATGTGTGTGTGTGTGAAATACCACAATTTTAAAACATGGTCCAACTAATTCAAAACTTGTATCACTCTAGGTCACACAAAATAGTTGCTACAGGCTGGTTTGGCTCTCGGCCATCCTATCAGCAACCTCTGGCTTCAGTGACACTTGACCCTCTTGTCCACCCCTGGACCAGGCTCTTTGAGAGATGGACTGGAGAGGGAGCTGGTGGGCTAGATCCCACCCGCCTTGGTTGTGGGGCAGGAGTACAGCTGTCCCATCCAGCTGTTCAAGCCTCCACAGGGAGAGCAGCTGCCAAGTATTAGTGAGAACAGCTGGGCATCCCCAGCCTGGGCTGGGGGACTATGGCTTTGAGTTTAGGGCAGTGGCTGTTTTTCCTCCCACGGCCTTTGATCAGACTAGGCTGGGCTACAGGGTTTGTTCACAAACAGGAAACGAGAAGAGAATTGGGCGGAGGGCCTGCAGGTTAGGTTTTGGTGGCAACGAGCTGTCCCTGCTTTACCCCAAGGCTCAGGTGCAGATTGGAGACCAAGCCTATGAAATTGGTCATCCCTGATGCCAGGTTGTCTGGGCACAGCCACCTGCCTACACCTTGGGGCCCAACCCCCTGGCATTTTAGTCCTCAGTGCCCGCCCCCACTGCACCTGCTTTGACGGTTACACAGTTTCTCAGAAAGAAGCGTATGTGTGTGTGAGTGTGTGTGTGTGTGTGTGTGTGTGTGTGTGTGTGTGAGTGTACGCATAGATGCACAAAGCCCTGCATGGCAGGTGGTCTCTGGTAACATAGCTAGAGGGGGTGGGGCCTATCTACAGAAGCTTGTGCTCCAGCCTCAAAAGGAACATCTGTTGGAATTCCTTGCCTGCTGGCCTCTCCTCAGGCAGGAGGAGGGGGTGGGACAGAGGCTGGGTCCTGAAAAATTCCACAGGAGGGAGAAGAGGGTGTAACCCTACACGTTTGTCACTAGGGGGTCTGGCATGGCAAACTGGCTGATCCAAGGGCACACTAAACCAGGCCGCTGTCCTGGGGGGAGCCCAGAGAGCCCCACACAAGGGGAGGGAAGCCCAGCCTTGCTGGCATCCAGGCCCTGGAGACACCCACATTGTCGGCCAAGGCCTGTCATCATGGGATGGATGAATGCCTTTCCTGGCGGCCATATGGCCCCGCTGAGGTGATTTGCATACAGGTGGAAGGCCTGTGGGCAGGCTGGCATGACCGTTGTCTGGGTAACGCTCAGCCACCTTTTGACCTACCCCAGCTGTCTCCATTGCTGCCATTCTCTGGGCCCTCTTCCATTCAGGGAGCCTTTAAAATCCCAGGCTGACTCTCATCTTCCCCCTCCTCAATAGCTGGGTCCCCAGATAGTTGACATTCTTCCTACTTCCCCTTTCCACTGTCCTTAGCCCTGGTCCTCAGGTCTTGTGGACTGGGGACCTGATGCTGGAGGTGGGTGTTGGGCTGTAGTGGGAGGTGGGCTGCATGGAACCCTTCTCTCTCCTAGGTTTGAGCAGGCCATCCAGGCAGCTAGCCGGTTCGTTCGAAGGTAAGTGCTTGGGCTTCCCCTTACAGGCTCCGGTGGTCTACCTACCATAGGCTACCTCTGCCCCCATTGGCAGGGGCAGGGTGCTCAGGGCTCTGGTGGAGGGGCACCCTGCATGCTCGCCACGACGGTCCCAGACTCTCCAGCCCTGACGTGTCCCTGTTTCCTTCTGCAGCAAGCAGTTCCCCATCCGACGCTTCCAGTCCTTGCCGGTGAGTGCCCTCCGAGGCAGGGCAGGAGGGTTCTAAGGCCCAACTCCTGGTCTGGCCATGGGAGGTGGAGTTTGGGAGGTGAATGGGTGGGCAGGGGCATTCAGGGGAGGGATGGGAGGAGGTAGGGCCTGGGCTGGTGCCAGAGAAAGGTAACCTTCAGTACCTGCTGCCCCCCTGGCTCCCCAGGTGAGGCTTCTGGGCCACAGCCCTGTGCTGCGGAACATCACCAATGCCCGAGCGCCTGGCAGCTGGAAGAAGAGCGAGGCGCATAACCAGACTGCCCACAGCTCTGAGGAGGATAAGGAGAATGTGCGCTTCCCGCAGGCCAGAGAGGGACCACTCCAGGGAGAGAGAGGGGCATGCTGGGTGGTGCTCTGGCATGTGATGACGCCACCTCCCCCCGCCCACAGGATGGGTTTGTCTTCAAGATGCCATGGAAGCCCACACATCCCAACCACGCCCATGCTCTGGCTGAGTGGGCCAACCGCAGAGAAGCCTTTGCCCAGAGGCCCAGCTCGGCCCCCGACTTGATGGTACATCGGGAGAGCTGACCCTTGCAGGGCAGGCGCACAGGGCAGGTGCCCCCGAAGGCAGCCTGGGGATGGGAGGGTGATTGAGCCTGAGGCAGGGGAACCTTTTATCAGAAGGAGAGGGGTGAGGACTGCCTTGGGTCCCCACCACTGAGTAGCCTGCATCTGTTTGTCACCCGTACAAGTGCCTCACCCCTGAGCGGAAGATGGAAGTAGAGGAGCTGAGTCCCCTGGCCCAGCGCTTCCCCCTGACCCCCACCACGGGAGTTCCAGACGAAGATGATGGGTTTGTGGACATCCTGGAGGATGACTTAGAGGTAGGCAGCCTTGCTCCATCAGGCCCCCTACATCTGCCCCCCTGGGATGTCCCAGAGGAGAGCTCTGAGCTCCTGCAGCAAGACTATGACCGCATCCCAATGTCAGAAGAATCTGAGGTAACTGAGTCCCAGCCTGACCTCTGGTCAATCAGAGAAGAGCAGGTGGCTGGTGCTGCAGTGAGGGGAGGATGGACAGGGCGGAGGGAATGCGCCCCTGCACGGTTTCTCATGGTTCTGTGCAAGCCCCAGCAGTGAAGGGTCCCTGCCCTCCTGGTTCTGGGGGGCTGCCCAGTGTGGAGGTGCTGGCAAGGCCAGAGAAGGCTGCGCTGGAGGACTGGGGCCTGAGGGATTTGGCCTGTGCCTGTTGGTGTGACCCATATCCTTGTTGATTTGGCTTCAGGACGCTGATTCAGTTCCCCCAGGCATGGAGAGCCTCATTAGCGCCCCACTGGTCAAGACTTTGGAAAAGGAGGAGGAGCAGGTGAGCTTCTGGGGTGGCCCCCTACCCTCCAGGTGGGATTGGGGGAAAGCAGGAGCTGGGCACTCTGACCCCCGACCCACTGCCCTGGCCAGGACTTCATCATGTACAGCAAGTGCCGGCGGCTCTTCCGCTCTCCGTCCATGCCCTGCGGTGTGATCCGGCCCGTCCTCAAGAGACTAGAGCGACCCCAGGACAGGGACCTGCCCATACAGAACAAGCGGAGGAAAAGTGTGACCCCTCTGGAGGAGCAGCAGGAGGCCGAGGAACCTGTGAGAGCCCTCCTCCTGGGGCGGGGCTGCCACCTTCCCAGTCTACCCTGCAAGCCCTTCTCAGCCAGGGTGCAGGCAAGGGGGGTACCAGCCAGACGGGGCCTGGAGGGGCAGCTTCCCCCCTGATCTTGGCTGCCATCTATCTCACAGAAAGCCCGTGTCCTTCGCTCCAAGTCCTTGTGTCACGACGAGATTGAGAACATCCTGGACAGTGACCACCGTGAACTGATTGGGGATTACTCTAAGGTACCAGCTGGCAAGACCCTCAGGCTCCACCCCTTGCCAACTGTAGCCCCCTAGCCCAGCAGCTGCTTCAGTGCCACCCTCTCTCACCAGAGGCCCCTTTGCTCTGTCCTTTGCATACTATCGTCCTTTGTCCTTTACTCTCACCTGGACTCTACTCGGTCTCCTGACTCTATCTCATGTGTGTCCACGCATCAGTGATGTCTCCACCTTGGAAAACATTTCCAAACAGACGTCTAGCTTGACCCTCCTCGGGCCTCATTCCCAGGCTTGGCAGAACTGGAGGTAGAGGCAGGAGTCCATTGCTTCTGCTCCCCTTCATTTCCCCTTGGAAGGTTGTTCCTGGGGCATCAGACCCAAAAGGCTCCTCTCGGTTGCTATGGGAATCAGAGCTGAATTTGAAGGTCGAATCAGGTGTCTCTTGGGCTTGTGTCACGATGGAGATTGAGAACATCCTGGACAGTGACCACCGTGGACAGTTCCTGCTCCTCAATATGGGAATCAGAGCTGAATTTGAAGGTCGAATCAGGTATGGCCTCTTGGGCTTGTGTCACAACGAGATTGAGAACATCCTGGACAGTGACCACTGTGGACAGTTCCTGTTCCTCATCTTACCCATTTCACCTTCTTCCTCTTCTCTTTCTCAAGCTCTCTCTCTCCCCTCTTCATGCAGGCCTTCCTCCTACAGACTGTGGATGGGAAGCACCAAGACCTCAAGTACATCTCACCAGAAACGGTATGTGCAGATGAGCTGTCCGTCTGTTAACCTTCGCTGAGAACAGGCTGCAAGCACTGGGTAGGGTAAGGTTAGGAGCCAGCCCCTGGCCTGCTGGAACCCACCTCCGTGGCCTCCTACAGATGGTGGCCCTGCTGATGGGCAAGTTCAGCAATATCGTGGAGAGGTTTGTGATTGTGGACTGCAGATACCCCTACGAGTATGAAGGCGGGCACATCAAGGTGAGGCAGGGTGACCAGAGAGGTGCTGAAGACCCACCAGTTCTATCCTTCATCTGTGGGGGCGCCCTCTTGTGGGGAAGGGTCCTGCCCAGCAAGAGGTGGGGGTCACCCTTTTGAAAGATGGGAACTGCCTAGGGGCGGGGTCTGCCAGCCAGGCCCAGGGCAGTGGCCTGACCTCCGGCTACTCTGCAGACGGCTGTGAACCTGCCCCTGGAACAGGACGCCGAGATGTTCCTGCTGCAGAGCCCCATCACACCCTGTAGCCTGGACAAGAGAATCATCCTCATTTTCCACTGTGAATTCTCATCTGAGCGTGGGCCCCGCATGTGAGTCCCAGCTCCACCCAAGCTTGTAGGTGCTGGAGCCGTCCTATGGCCAAGAGCCTGAGCCCAGCCCCTCCTTGGCTTGGGCCTCTTGGCTCATCTGACCGCCTGAAGCAGACCTCATCCCTGCTTCCTTGTGCACGGCACCCTCCCCCTGTCTCCCTCCTGCAGTCCTTCCCATCAATCCTCACCCTCTACCCATTGTCACCCCCGCCCCCAAATCTGATTCCAAGCCTTCAGCAGTGTCCTTAAAATCCAAGGACCCTGTCCCAGTCCTCAGTGACACTGACCCTCCTGGTGTTCAGATGTCCTTTCCTTCCCTCACCGAGTCTTGTCCAGACCTCCTGAACAGATCTCTGGAATTTTGGCAACTTCTCTTCGTTCTTCTTCCCCTTTCCCAGTCCAGGCCAGATAACACTAACAATGGTTCCGCAACTGCCTTCTAGAAACAGGCTCCCTTGGTTTTCCTTTTTCCTTCCAACTCCCAGCCTCTCCAGTGCTCAGGAGCCGGACTGACCTAAAAGTGCCTGCTTTTGAGCCTTCCCAAGGCGCTCAAAGGAGTGGGTGCAGGGAACAGGTTCCCTGAGGTCCACCCTAATGCACGCCCAGCTCTGACTCCCACACCCATTGGTCCCAGGTGCCGTTTCATCAGGGAGCGAGATCGAACCATCAATGACTACCCCAGCCTCTACTATCCTGAGATGTACATCCTCAAAGGCGGCTACAAGGAGTTCTTCCCGCAGCACCCGGTACCGCAGGCAGGGGTGGCCACAGCCTCTGGGGGAGGGTTGGACTGCAGGGAAAGGGCTTGGCCAGGCAACACCCTAAGAGAAGAAAGGAGGATTGCCCCCCCCCCCGCAGTTGCCCATTCCCCCATATTGATTGCCCTCTCCCATCCTGCCTTAGACCTTCTGTGAACCCCAAGACTATCGGCCCATGAACCACGAGGCCTTCAAGGACAAGCTGAGGACCTTCCGCCTCAAGACGCGCAGCTGGGCTGGGGAGCGGAGCCGGAGGGAGCTCTGCAGCCGCCTGCAGGACCAGTGAAAGGCCAGCCACGGACTCACCTACCTTCATTGCCTCGAGTGGCCTGGGCACCAGCAACCCAGAGGCCTGTAATAGCGAGGATCTGCTGGAGGCCCCAGGACAGTGAGGGTGTCCTGTCCATGCGCCCCAGCCCTGATCCCCTTGTCTCACTCCAACCATACTCCATACCCTGGTGCCCCCCCCTCTACCAACACCCCATCTCCTAGAAGAACCCAGCCTGTTGACAGTGAAATTGGATTATGTCCAGCTCAAAGGAAGTATTTTGTGTCCAACAGGAATCTTTTGCTTTTATTCTTCCTTGTTTGGGTTAACCCTTTGTCTCCCTGTGTCCAGAAAAGTCCCCTTTTTCCTAGAGGCTTTGTTTGTATGTTTGAGGCTGAGGGAAACCACAGCCCCAAGATGGGCCAGAGCTGCTCTCCTCCCTGCCCTAGAAGTAGCACTGTGCCCTGGCCCTCAGTAGCACTCCTACGTGTGTCTGCGTGTTCCTGCTTCCTCGTTTCCTGTCCCTCCTTACGTACACCTCCAGCACAAACATAAGCTCTTACTCTTCCTGTTTCAGTGTTACCTGCATGCCTGACTTGTCTGTCTGATTTTTTTGCCCATCTCAGGTCATTCACAGGTGGTCAAGCGGTCACCTGAAGGGAGGGCTGCCCCACCCAAAGTTACCCATTAGGCTCTCCCGGTCCAGTTGGGGTTATGGACTCAAACCTTAATTACCCACTTGGCCTGTCTTCTGTTGCCTCGGAAAAGGATGTTATACTTGGGGGCCCCTGGGTGAGGGCTAAGGCCTGCGTCCTTAACCTCACTGGAAGCCCAGCCCCCACTGCTGTGAACCCTGGGGCCTGACTTGTGAGAACTTGCTGCTGTCTTGTCATGAATGAACAGATGGATGGACAAACGGATGGATGATGAATGGATGGAGAGCTGTAGATGCACAATGCCTCGCACACAAACCACTGGGTGGAAGCATTTCAGTGAGCGTGACAGCCTTCAGCAGGAGTATATATGTGTCTGTCTGGACAAAATCTTTACACTTTAAGGTTTGAAAATATTCAAGAGGAAATGTCGAGGTGGCAGCTAAACCAAGGTCAGAACCACCTCTGACTTTTTAATCTCAGGATGTGGGAAGGGCTGTGCTTGAAGGCCCTGATGAGTCATCTGTTAGGGCCTTGTTTCAATAAAGCACTGAACAAGTTGAGCAACCAGCATTGTGTTCTGTGGAGCCCTTGACAAGACCACAGCAGATGCAGATGGTGGGATAGGGCAGGGGCAGATGGGCAGATTGGGGCTGGAAGACTACTGGGGGGGCTACCTCATGCTGTCTTCCCAAGTCTTTTTTTTTTTTTTTAATATATTTTATTGATTTTTTTACAGAGAGGAAGGGAGAGGGATAGAGAGTTAGAAACATCGATGAGAGAGAAACATCGACCAACTGCCTCCTGCACACCCCCTACCGGGGATGTGCCCGCAACCAAGGTACATGCCCTTGACCGGAATCGAACCTGGGACCCTTCAGTCCGCAAGCCGATGCTCTATCCACTGAGCCAAACTGGTCAGGGCCTGTCTTCCCAAGTCTTGCTGAGACTTTTCCCCTCATCTGGCTACTCAAGCAGCCTTCCTAAACTTTGAACCAAGAAGGCAAGAGTAAACCCATCTAGAACTCATTGCGCACCACCTCCTTGCTCCCCTCTGACAAATGCTCCATACCTTGCTCTTCACCGTTCCTTGCCTTTGCATCTGTTGCACCACCCTCAGAAAGGCTCTCCCTTATCTGTTATTCCTCTTGTAAGACTCAATTTCAATTGTCACTCTCAGAAGTCTACCAACTTACCAATCCAATGCCCTGTCAGGGAAATGGATTTCCTCAGTATCCCCAGTGCCCAACAGAGCTTCCACCACCTAGGACAGTGGTTCTCAACCTTCCTAATGCCGCGACCCTTTAATACAGTTCCTCATGTTGTGGTGACCCCTAATTTCATTGTTACAAATTGAACATAATTAAAGCATAGTGATTAATCACAAAAACAATATGTAATTATATATGTGTTTTCTGATGATCTTAGGCAGCCCCTGTGAAAGGGTCGTTCGACCCCAAAGGGGTCGCGACCCATAGGTTGAGAACCGCTGACCTAGGAGATGTTGAGTTCAAGATCAGCAAATGGGAAACCACCAATCTGGTAGAATTGGTCCCAGGCCCAAACCTAGTGTCTTAGGAAATCCTCTGGGAATACCACTGCTCTGTTAACTACCCCCCACTCCCACCCCCATCCCCACCAATGTGAGCTGTTGGTGATTGCAGGGACTCCTTTGCAAATGTACACATAAGATGCTGTCTGATACAGAGTACACACGGGGCAGGAGTCATTACCACTTTCTGTGGAAGTTCATCTACCTTCCAAAGTAGGTGGTGGGATGATTATTCACTCCGTTTTGCAGATGGGGAAGTGGAGGCTATTTCTAGCAGTTAGAAGGGACTCCAGGTTCCAAGGCTGAGTCTAAAGGACACTTGCCCTGTCTTCAGTTTGACCTCCAAGTTTGTTATACCTAAAGGATTGGTTTTTACTCCTGCTCCAGAGCCCCCTGCAAAGACAAAACGTGTGTATGTAGGTACCT